GGGGGCAGGAAGGCTATGACGAGGCGTGAATGATCGACATTTCCCCATTTGAAGTTGTGGTAAGGAATTGTTATTAAGGTGTTCGTTGCAAACACCCTGTTTATCGATCCTTTTCCATCGGTTTTAATGGTAGATCAATCAATATATCGCAAAGCACGCCATGCCAGGACAGGAAGGCGTAAGGAGAAGAGTCCGGGAGGACCTTTGCCCCAAAAGTGTTGAAAGTGTTAGGAAAAGTTTTAATCTCTTTTCACCGAAAAATCCACTAAAATACGAATTCTCAGATAACTCAAATGTCACCCAGTTATTTTGCAAAACTCCTTTCATTTTTATTAGAGAGCCAAGTGTAACAAAATTTGGAGGGGGAGGAGGCTCTCTGGCTCTCCCTTAGTTCCGCCTATGCCAACCTAACAACACTTAACTAGTTATATTGAATCCGAAAGACCTCCATTGGCCGTCGTAACAATACTTTTCCTGTAAAAGTATCCTAAAAGTGAACTTAAGAATAATTGTTGACATACTCGGCACTTATATCAGTTAAGTTGATGCTAGCATGTGCCAACGGCTTTCGTCTCCACGCTTTTTCAAACTACAACTATGGTAACTTATCCAACAAAACATGAGCCAAAATCAGGCCTTAAAATTTTCAAAGATTGTTCGTTTCAAGTTCAATCGGAAGGCATAACAAAAACAAATATTAAGGCGTTAAAAGTTAAGAGAGATGAAAATAACATAAACAAAAAGCCAATTGAGGAGATAAAGAAATTCAATCGTAATAATCATTATTTGAGGAGTTGTGATGCTTATCGGAAGCGGACGCTTGTTTTAATGTTCATGAATTTTGCCGAAATCACTTGTACATTCACATTTTTCTGGAAGAAACAACGACCTGTAAGTTTCATTTCCGCGAATGCCTGAATTAATTTAGCATTACACAACAAGCAAGTACCTGGGATGTGACTCATCGTCCGGAACTTGGAAACACTCTATTCTAGGAGATTATACAGGGTGACCCAGAAGTCCCTTCTACCCCTTCTAACTTTTCGCCTAGTGTAGGTAAAAATTTGAAACTTGAGATTTGTTCCTCGGTCAAAAGGAGCAACTTTTTGGTCTCCCTAATATTGGGGAGGACTTGCCCCCTAAAAATTTCAGGGGAGCTCGCTTTCTAAAAATTTCCGGACGGCCAAAAAGTAGCTCCCTTTAACCTAGCAACACTCCCCAAGTTTCAAATCTTTACCTCGATTTGGTAAAAAGTTAGAGGTGGTTAACGGACTTTTAATCACCGTAGTTACACTTATTAATGATTTCAAGCAATTTTTTTATTCCAATATATTTTTTTCTTGGGAGACCTCTGAGAGCATATTTCATTTTCCCATAAACCAAAATTTTATATTCTCGCAATTGCAAGTAATGGTTTTGAGATTTTTCAATCAATGTTCGTCTTTGCTCAGATATCGTCAGAGAGGCTGAGGAATAAAATGGTTTGACTCGACGTTTCTATGCTTCTGACTCTCCATCGAGATTTCTCCTTGGACGGGCTTAAATAAACATTAAACAAACACAGCACAAATATTAGACTTGCAAGGTCGTAAAAAATAAGATCTGTTGGGTCTGATCGGAGCATACACATAGATGAGTCATCTTAGGATCTTCTTGTGAAGCTAAATTAAATGATAAAACGCATCGGATGGTAACCGGAGGCGGGTCAAACAATTTGGCAACACCGGATTGCCTCCATTTTAACCTATGCTAAATAATCGATTCTTGTCGGAGCACCTTGCCTCTCCAAGAATCGATACATTTCTATATGTTTCAATGGAGAAAAGGCAACGTTGCCAATTTGCTGGATCCGCCAATAGATGAGATTTGAAATATTCTTGTCGTTTAAATCAGTATTATTAATGTAAATAATTATTTATCCTTTTCAACCTCACAGCCTTTTTAAATAAACAATGGTGAATGACAGAAAGACTTGAGCGGTCACTGGTCATTTCAGAAAGACCTAGGCCGACAACGGCTACAAAACACATGAATCACTTAAAAATAAAGTATAAATGTTTACCTATATTTGTGTATAATTCTCTAGTGTGGTAAGGCAAGGCATACCCTGTTGCCTGTCACTAGCGTCAATGATAAGCTAAAAAGTTCAAAGATATCATGCCTATATCAAACAGGGGGTAAAAAACGTCTGCGTATGAACTGTAAAAAAGATTTGAGAAAATTAGGCGATCACAATTATCATTAGAACCTA